ACGTTGAGTGAGTGACAAGAAAATGGAATAAGCACATAACTGATCTCTCTTGTGTCACGTGCTTGTGTGAAAAAATTAATTCTGATTTAGACAACGCAGTCTGTAGCTTTGGTACAGAGATTGGGGTGACATAAATTAATTTAACGTTATGCTTTTCATCCGTGCTGGGATAGCTCAGTGGGTATACCGACGGGCTAGATGGCTGGTATTCGATTCCCAGTAGAAGCAAGTGATTTTTCTCTACTCCTCAGTGCCCAAACCGGCTCTAGGGCTCACCCAGCCTCATATACAATGTGTAATTATAGATTTTTCACAGGGGGTAAAGCTGCCCAGACGTGAAGCTGACCATTCACCTCCATCTTTAGAGGAAGTGAAGATTTATGGGGCTACATCTCCGCTTCTCGGTGCATAATTAATTAAGCACAAGGACAGCTTTCATACTTTTATGTATTAGTTGATTAACAATGTCATTAAGCTACGTAAGTGTTTGCAATTTTTATATATTTTACAAGGCAGTTGTATTATTGTAGTTAAGAATGTGTCTCATTTTAAGCACAGCTTTAATGCCTCATCACGTGAATCCAGAACCCAAAGAAAAGGGGCCATATTCTACTACGTTGTGAGATACATCTGTATCAAGGGCCGCGCCATAGCTCAAGCGGTTAGTCGCTGGCTTCCCACTGCAGCGGCCCGGGTTCGATCCCGGGGTCTGGTCAAGTTGGATTTGTGGTGGATAAATTGGCGCTGGGGCGGGTTTTCTCCGAGTACTTCGGTTTCCCCTGCCAATCTTCATTCCACAAAATTCTCCATCATCATAAACACCCGGGGCAGGCTACAGTAGCCAATCAGTGGCCCCCTTGCCGAGTGGAGGCAGTTGGACTCCACCCCCCACTAAGCGAATTTTACATCTTTATCAACTGATAAATCCTACTCGAATTTCTAAAATACATTTTCAAATATAAGGCCTGGAATCGTGTAACTCTTTGGTAAAATTTCCCTAGTGATCACACTATTATGGCGTATAAATACGCACTCTGATGTCTTGGCCTTGCACTCCGGCCACCATTACCAGCCGGTATGCATTGGCTCCGATTGCAGGGGGATTCACACTCTTTCTGAAGGTGACAGAGAGAAAGAAATTGTCACCCTTCGAATCGACCTCTAATCCCGGTCGACCATTTTGGATTGAGCTACATGGCTCATTGCCTGTAGACAGTACCGTAGTTAGAAACGTTTCCCCTTGTTATGCAACCCAGTATATCTTGTTCACAGGGACTCCCCATTGGTCTCCGTTCCGGGCTAGATTAATGCAGTCCACGTCCTTTTAAGATCCATTCCAATATTTTCTCCCATCTACACCTAGGTCTTCCAAATGTTCTCTTGCAGTCTTCTAATAAATTATTATAGAAAGTCTCAAGTCTCCTGCGCGTGCTACATGTTGCAATCATCTCATTCTCTTTTGATTTACTCACGCACAGCACACGCCATGAAGTTCCTCATCATACATTTTTTGTTTTTTCTCCTGACACTTCTGTCTCTTAGTCCCACGTGTTCTCCTCGGTACCAAGTTCTAAAATACTCTGAGTCTGCGTTCTTATGTTACTGAGAGAGACCAAGTTTCACACCCATAAGAGTAAGTTAGAATAACAGGCGACAGATGGGGGAGGGAACCACAATCATCTACCCACTCCCTAAAATTTGGAAAATATGTAAAATCGAAGACTTGTACCACATTCATTCATTCATTCATCAGTAATTCTGCCAATTCTGCAGCTACTCAAGAATTTCCCAGAATTTTATAGAACCCGAAGGTTCATTACCGTGTTAACAAGAGTCCTCCACTCGTCCTTATCCTGAGCCAGGTCAATCCAGTTAGAACAAATTAAAGTTACGTCTTTAGGCAAATTTTCCGGGATTTTGAATGATGAATTCAGAAAGATTTGAAAGACATTTTCGTGGTCTAATCGAGATATTACATCACCATTTGCCTGAAGAAACTGAGGAAAATTACGAAAGCCGTTGGTCGGCGTAGCCGGTATCCCGTACGAGATTCGAAGCTGACTCCTCCCGAATTCAAGTCTAAGAGCATTACTGCTACTTCTGTAAGCTTGGAATGCTCGTGTACTTTCATGGCTTTTAACGCTGTTGTGATGTAAGTTTTAATTTCGCAGCTTGAATTTTCACATTTTTGCAGAAGGTTATACTGAACTGCTTCATTTATCGATCTCGCAGTCTAGTGGATATGGAGCCACTACCCCTCCCTCCCGCCGTTATCAGCTCCCCTGTGAAAGGTAATAACGCCGAAGACCTTGCTCGGGACGGATTACCTTGTTCATCTTCGTATGACCAGAGCCAGTGATTGGAGACGGTAGCCTCACCACTCCACCCCCCGCCGTGAGTGTACGGCTAGCTGTATGTACCTAATCTCACATGGAGACATTAAAGCGTTCCCCTTTCCACCCAGAGCTCCATAACCGAGTTAATTGCTCCGTACCTATAATGCTCCTTGCTGCGGGATGAGGAGGGAGGCTGTGCAGATAAGACTACCGCGAGGGCCATTACCCACAATCCCCTTCGTCCAGAGCTGCAGCGAGATGAGTTGGAGGAGGGTGGCTCTTGATACTGGTGGATAGCTAAGGGGGTGATGGGGGTGATATGAAGGTGTTTGGTCTTGTTAGTTGTTTGTTTACTTCTCTAATTTTCTGAACACTTAGAATTTTACACGTTTCTACTGGGATGAAAGAATATCAATTCTAGTGCCGGTTTTCTATTATTTTGTGGTAATAGCACAGGCTTTTTACTGTGATATCGCCAGTGTTTGTTGCTCTGTATATTACCGCACTGCAGAATTGCGGACAAACCACTGAACCACAGGAAGGAACTTCAACCGGACTCTCATAACTTAAAACTTTCTGTGAGATTTTACTTTTCAGACACGTGCGTGTGTGGTGTATGAGGTGTTCACATGCATTTGAAGTAACCTGCATATGAATTTACGATCTTTCGACGCCACTTACAGGCTGAACGTTGTATGATCGGCTGTTGAAATAAGGAAGCTCGTGTCTTTTGAGTAACTATGAATCTGTAGGAAAACTACAATTGTTTTATCTACTGAACTATTTGTTTTTCAGATTATTTTAGTTTCTGGTGAACATAGGCGCATAATAGTGTGATATGTAGGCCCGTTTCTAGGAAACAACTCGATAAAAAAACACGTTTCCGTGTAAACGAACATTCAACAAAAACGTCTTAGGATACCGCTAGACTATATAAGCGGCCGTGCAGATAAGAACAGATTCATGATTCGTTCTTCCTCATTCGTCGCTCGTAAACCTGAACCAAGTCAGTCACAGTAGAAGACAGACTACAGGAGAAGTCAGTCGCAGTATAAGACGGACTACAGGAGAAGACAGACGCAGTAGAAGACAGACTACAGGAGAAGATAGACGCAGTAGAAGACAGACTACAGGAGAAGTCAGTCGCAGTAGAAGACAGACGCAGGAGAAGACAGACTACAGGAGAAGATAGACGCAGTAGAAGACAGACTACAGGAGAAGTCAGTCGCAGTAGAAGACAGACTACAAGAGAAGACAGTCGTAGTCCAGCCTGGCTGGAGCTTGTCTTAAGCAGTCATGGATTGTGAGTTGTTGTAATTGATAGAGATTAAGAGTGATTGCAAGAGAAGGCATCAATAAATCCAATACAAAACACATTATTATTGGTCACGGAGATATAAACACGTGAGAATAGATTTATTTGGATTTTGGCATGTCTACATTACATAAGAAAATGAAATAGAACTTTGTTTTGTGAGAGATTGTTGANATTTTAATTAACTGGAACGTGGTTATCTTTGACAAAGTGAAGTTTTGTGTGTTGGTGATTTCTTTTTCTACTATAAATGCCTCTGATGATGGCTCCGTGGTGAGCCGAAACATGTAAGGCAGGTGGTGACGAGGTGGAAAACTTAAAAAAGTGTCACATTTGACGGAAGGAACTTGATTGTTAAAATGAAATAGAACTTTGTTTTGTGAGACATTGTTGGTCACGGAGATATAAACTCGTGAGAATAGATTTATTTGGATTTTGGCGTATCTACATTACGTAAAAAAAGAAAGAGTTTTTGGTGAGATCTGTAGAAGTAATGGTCGCACCTTGCACAGTTCTGAAACATCTCCATGTTTGTTTTCCACTTATTGTTTTATCCGTCCCGAAACAATTCGCACTAAAGATTTCATATGATTCTTGTAGTTACGGCTTTATGCGACGAATTTCTTGTAGTGGTTATATTTTTCTGAATACAAAAGCCATTGTATATTTCCTTCATGCGTGGCTATTTCCATTCACATTTTTATAATACAGAGTGAGGAGTATATATATTACCTTAAAATAGTGTAATTCAATCTTTCTCGTGCAGCTGTGTGTTGACAGGCTGTACCTAAAACTGTGGACTTCAGTACTGATTAGGATCTGAAGTTGTCATTCCTGTGCTTATGAAGGGATCTGTCTTCTGGGATGTGAAATGGGTAGCAAGCAAATAAGCCGAGCATGAAGCAGGTAGGAATCAAAGCTTGCGTGGCTTATTCTTCGACGCTAAAGACAGAAGCCCTTCCGAAACGTCGGTTGATATTCAACTCAAAAAATTATATCCCAGAAGACAGAACTCTCATTAGATCCTTGATGTTTGTCTTGCAAAAATTTGCAAACAGTAGTAGAATAAGATGGAATGCATAAAGCAATTTATATTTTTAAAACAATTAAATGTTTAATAATTATAACATTCTATGTGGGGAAACATTGGCAGTCAAAATTTGCCGAAGTAAATGAGTGCACCTCTGAACTTGCATGTTCATTAAATAATGTCCTTAGTCTAGGGGATACCATGTGTTTGTCCTTTGTGTCAGTATCATTGGTTTTACTGTCTTAGCGATAGAATCTTAAAAATTGCGTTTCAACCCTTCACGGGGGTGGGACAGGGATGTGACCCCAGTGACCTTTAGTCTTTTCCCCACATGCAGGTCCAAGTGGAGCATACAGCCCTGATGGAGCCTCCATGGGTTATATGATGGACGGACAGGCTCAGATGATGCATCGACCACCTGGTGACCCCAGCTTCCATAACGAGTACCACTACCCGCAGTACTATGGACACCTGTAGTACCTCCCGTCCCCCGCTGGGTCATCGCCACCAACAGGTGAGACAGGTGACACCCGCCACATCTCGTATTGCATGCGGATGTAACTTTGGATGCTGTAAGGTGTGTATGCATAGCAAATGTTCTGGCAATTATGGACCTTCCTGAACGTTTTAGTATTTCTGGGACTTTTTGCATGCTGAAGAGATACTAGCTTTTTTATGTACTTGACACTGCTGCAAGTACTGACTTGGTAAACTCATGCACCTGTGTATACACAGAGCCAGACAGTGTGCACTAGTTAACTTCGAATGGTGCGAAATGCAAATTATATCAAACAAATGTCACTTCTCAGACTCTTTCTTTGCATACCGATGTAACATAATAGTAATCCATATTCATCAGCTAGAAAAACATCATTTTTTCTTCCTTTCTGTTGTGTTTTGTGTCTTTTACCCTTCTTTATTGCAGTTCAAGGTTTTCGTTTTTTTCTTCTTCTGATATTCGATTACCATTTGTGTAAATAAGGAATGACAGTTGGGGTCTCTCTTGTAAAGGTATCTGACGATGGTGCATAAGACTCAGAATTACTGGGTCTTTGCACTCCATCCATCGTCCAGCATTCTAAAAACTATAGAACACAAAGTTTCAGAAACTAGTTTCATCAGTCCCTCCAGGCAAATTCCGGGATATTACTTCAGATTAGGCCACGACCGCTTCCTTTCCTATCCTTTCAATTCTTTATTCACTGATCATGCTATCATTCCACGCTGTACAATCTGAGATACTGATATTAAACAAATGATTTATTAGGTAAATAAAATAAAATGTTGTTATATATAAAAAGTAAATAAATTTTACTCAGCAATGATTAAGAAATGGCCAAATAATTTATGTAGTGGACTGTGTAAGATATGATGCACTTTCGACTTGCGTTCAGTTTTGTGTGAATTTCCATTGTCTCTTGTGGTTTGATTAGCATATTGCAACCTGTTGGTGCCGGGCTTATACTTTGTTGTTGTTTGACATATTTTATAATCTAGGAGGTTTGCTATCGCTATGATAGCTGTGTAGTTGTTATCTGTTCGCAGTTATGCTTGCTAAGTATTGCATGTGATCTATCGCTTCCGCACACTGGGAACTTTGCCTACCATTCTCTTCCCCTAATGCAGACAAGTAGAGCTGAGTAATAAGAATGTTGAGCTGACCATTGATAAGTAAAACAATATATATATTATAAAATTATATCGGGCTATATATAATATATAGCCCGATTATAATTTTATAATGTTTATGGACTCGTCAATAAAGAATTAAACTCTTTAGACTCGTGTAGAATATAAAACAGTCCTTAATGGACATTGATAATCGAAACTCTTATTAAAATTGTATTTATATGTTATACTTTGGACCATTGTATGTGTGTGAGACATCAAATGAACCTGCGTTCATATGTGTTTTATCATTCAGAATTACTTGATTTTTTGATTTGTGTACCATCTGGTATTCTAGGAACTAAAGAACACAGTGTTTCGTAAACTGGACATGTTTCCATGCTCAGGTGAGGGGGAGACACCTACTCAGTTGGGCTCTTTAGAAAGAGCTGAACTCAATCACTGAACTAGACAATGCGAAAAGTAAAAAAAAGCTCAGTAAATCTGAGTTTTATACACTATCGTCAGAAGCGTTTAGAATCTGCATATTCTTGATCAGTTCATATTCAAGATAACATTTGTGTTAACTGGTTTAGTGCGTGTTCTGTCCACTAAGCAGCAAATCGATTCACATGAAAGAGATTGAAATTATCATCAATTTTTACAAGTAGCTGAACTGAAAGAAATAGTTCGTTGGTTAGAGGGGTTTAACTCTATTTACTTGAGGTGGAGTGTTTAGTCAGTGTGTTGCAGTCCCTGCAAGATATATGTACGGACAGTGTAATGAGTTGTGGCCCTGTTCCAGCCAAGCCGGCAATTTCTCACGTGTCGATAACACTGTTTGTCATGTGTTGCCCCACAATGCACTACATCAAGTAGCGTTCATTCCGTTTGAAAATCCTCATTTATCGGTACTTGTTCAGTGCTACAGCAGACCTATTGCATGTAACTGTTAGGGGAGAAATTCTATAAGACATTCCAATTGAATTTGGGACAGCCAGCGATTCATATTATTCAGTATGGATCAACAAGTCTTGGTAAGTCGTAACCCATCCCCCAGAACCAGATCGAAACTATATTCTTTCGACATTCTTGCTATATCTGGAGATGTCCTTATGTTCAGATGGAGATAATCACTGCGTGTGGTAACATTCAGGACTTACTGTAATTTATGTTCAATTATTTTGCCCAAATTTATGCCCTGGTTGAAAATAAAGTGAATTTCTTTCACGGTTAATGTCCTTATTACTTATACCGTATAATGCGGCCTCCGTAGTCTAGAGGTAACGTTCCTACCTCATGACTAGTGGTACGCGGGTTCAAATACCCGGCGGAGGTCGTCGAATTTTTCAGGGCGGAAAATTTCAGGGAACAAGTTCTCCGGGCGGGACTTTAAGCCGTGGGTCCCGTGTCGTAGCTTTACGGCACGTAAAAGAACCTCATATCTCCAAAGGAGGTCACTGAGCCAAATTACGGACGTTTCCCGCCCAACAGCAGTCACTAATACCTCCGGTAGATGGGGGAAGCATTATAGATACCTCTCAGCTAGTAGAGCCGGTCTCGCTGGCTGGGTGGGACTGATGGTAAACACCAATACCGGTAGGGTATAGAGACTGGTAGAATATCATAGAGGGAAGCACAATGGACCAATACAGGTCTAAGTGCATGGGGAAACCCACCCTCTCCAATAACTAACTAACTATACCGTATAATGGAGTTTGGAAACAACTTCCATTTCAGCAATGCAGACGTAATTCCTGTATATAACGCTGTAAATCATTACACCAAGGAAGTGTAAAGCTTAGCAAGCTGCAATTTTAACGTTACACTACTCTGCATAGGTAGTGGGATCTGGAACGGGGTCCACTCAGCCTCATTAGGATACCTGAGGAGCTGTTTCAAGGAAATAGCGGCTCCAGTCTAGAAAACCGAAATTAACGGCCGTCGGGATTCGTTTCGCTGACCACGCGAAACCCTCTATCCGCAAAAGTTGGCACTAAACTTCGCCGACAAGCGGCAGTCGCTCGGTCGGTATAGTTCTCTTGCGGACTAAAATTACGGAGTTTGTTTTACTACTCCGCATAGTAAATTAGTTGTTATTCGACAGAATGTATTCCAATAGACTCATTTACTCTGTAGACAGCAACAGTAGGAATAATTCTAAGTTTTAATCTCGGAAGATTGGGGTGTATGCTTATTTCTTTAAATAATTTTGTGAACGTATCAGCTGATATACCAACTAACCTCTTACTGCTGCTCTTCGTTGCCATAAAATCTTCCATTAAAACGGTACTAGCACTGTTCATGCGTTGGTAACATGTAAGCAACAGGCAATTAACTGCCACTTCTAGGTTTGCTTTATGTTCATATTTACACCAGCGTGATTTTTAAAGGCCTCTTTGGAAAAGGTTGATTCATTATATCAACATTGTATTGAACATTGTTCATTGTTTAAGATGCATTGTATATACACGATGTTTCGAAAGTTAGCCCTGTTCTCATCTTTGGGCGACTGGTTGCCATTAAATTGTCTGATTCCGATATTATTATTTATTATTAGGGAATTTATTTTTTATTTAATCTTAAAAATGATGCAAGACTGTGGCAGTATATTAACAACCACTTCCCTGAAAACAGAAATATGGTCAACTTCAAAACGCTGTGTATATTAAAATTATTTCTGGCATTCGTAAGTGTTTCAGATAATATGAGAATACGACTATTATCCTCCTGTCATCTGAACACGTGTGACTTGTTCTCCGGTTCTCTGTGTTCTGAGGCAATGTTACCACAATGTGTTTAAGCTAAAAGTAAACAGTTAAGCTATTTCTCGAATCCAAATGATACTTCACTGCCTCGAACATGCTTTTCCATATAATTTAAAAAAATTAAATTACTGTTCATTACACAACCTGATACTTTGCTTAATATGCGTACTGTACTTACTAAACCTGCTTTCTGTGGCGTTTGGGTGCATTTGAAGTTTTCGAGAAGTTTGCTGTGACGCCTGCATGATGTATATTACTTACTGCAAGATTCTTTGGGTGTGTCATCACCGTATCGAGTCTTCGTATGTTTGGTGATATGCATGTTGTGGTGAAAGCCATGTGTGTAAAGACATTAATTTACAAAGTAAGAACACTATGCTGTTATACTTACAACATGCACTTAGGCCGCGCCATAACTCAAGCGGTTAGTCGCTGGCTTCCCTCCCCGGCTGCCCGGGTTCGATCCCAGGTCTGGTCAAGTGGGATTTGTGGTGGACAAAGTGGCGCTGGGGCGGGATTTCTCCGAGTACTTTGGTTTCTCATGCCAATCTTCATTCCACCAAATTCATCATCATAATCACACGGGGCAGGCTACAATAGGCCAACCAGTAGCCGCCGTGCCGAGTGGACCCAGTTGGACTCCACCCCCCACTAAGCGAATTTAAAAGATATTTATAACATGCACTTAATTGAATGTTCTTTATTATAATATTGTCACAGAATTGTTAGCATAATATGTAATTTGTGTGTGGAGACTGCTAGTAGGCTGAATGTTGCAAGGGTCATTAAGAAATTATAAGTGCTCAGTGGTGTCTTGCAGTTCAAACAGCTGCATTGCCCCTCAGTGGATAAAATTAAATATTTTTGCTTGAGTTCCTACCGATCTTACCGGAAATTTGTAGCTTCTTTGGCAAGACACATTAAAAAGTCGATACATTTTAGTTTGTTATATAACTTCACCTACAGAAATTTTTGAAAATTTTAACAAGTTCAGAAATAACCGGAATTTTGTGGCATTGTCATTTCACACGCATCCGTCATAGCCCCTCTCCTGACCTAGGTGAATCAGTTCAGACCGTCCCATCATGTAGCGTCAAGGCCCATTTTAATATTATCTTCCTTTCAGGCTTTCCCACCAAAATTTTGCAATTATATCCGTCTTCTTCGTGATTTCTACTCGCCTCAAGTGTACTTATCTACTCTATCTCGCTTACACTTGCGTACGAAGTAAGTAAGTACGTTTTGGATGCTTATACTCGCAAGTAAAGTCCGGCCACGGCTGTCCCCCTGTCTGCTGTTGCATCCATTTTGTTTCATTTTGCATTGTAAGTTCGCAGTAATTCAAAATGTTATTATATGCAACTTTGTATCTAAAAATTTCAGATGCTTTTAAGCATCATATTTAAAATGTGCGGTTCTATTTTCTTTACTTCGGTTGCAAAGAAGTTATTTTTTTTCTACAAGATGTGGAATACAAAACTCATATCTATGTTGCCCTTGAGAGGAAAGGTGAAAACCTAAATGAAAGTATCAAAAGAGAGAATTGTCAATCTCCACCATTGAACTTATGTAAGAGTGGACAATCGTGGTGCTCATTTGTAGTCTGTATTATATTATTTGAAAGTCGTGTAATCGCCGGATTTTTTTATCTCTTCTTGTTCCCACTTTGGAGCCTAGGGCTGATTTCTCAGTTTGTTGATCATTTTACAGACGGTAGGGCTCCTTGGACGGGTGATCGCAAGGCCTCTATCTAAACACAGGACAACACAAACACAGAATAAACACATATACACCAATCATCTATGCATTGTGTTGGATTCGAACCCACGATCCCGGCTTCCGAGCGAGCGAAGACAGGACATGCCTGAGACCGCTCGGCTACCATGACCGCAAATCACCTGATTAGATACAAAAATTAGGAACTTCATCCTGCCCTGAAAGAGGCATTCATTTGAATTTCCATTCTGGAATGGACCGAAAAATTACGTTTTCCTAATCTTTGAATTCCATTTTCGTAATATTAATACTGTGTTCCCAAATGGCAACAGATTATCGTTACAGAAAACATTCACTGATAATGTTACAGACGGTTCTTAATTCTGTTATGGTATGAAATTTTGCGAATGGGTTCCCATGTTTAACTAAGCCCATTTATAACTTAATTCCTAATGGTCAGTGTTCGTTTTCCTTTGCGTTCAGGACTAATAACCCGTGTTTTGCAATGCTTGTAGCACATTTGATGTTCATCTGAGTTTCTGTTCGAATTGTTAGTAGCCACGTTTGGTCTTATTGTTTTGAGGTGCATGCCTCAAATGTAAGTTACACCTAACTTACGGTGCTTGGTCTCATAACTACTCGCTACTTACTTTCATGCACGTCTTACGCAGATAATCACACAATTTTCACCATATTTGGCTATTAGTCAGATAAATAACAGTAATTGTCTCTTATTTCTCCTTAATGCTGTATGTATGCTCACCCTGTATTATCAGCCGCGGTAATGTTTTTGTCCTTTTTTGATGACGTTGCATTCGAAAGGCAATTTACAAGCGTTTGGGTTGACTGTAAAATTATGCAATCCGAACTGCATTACATTATATTCACAGTAACCAATTTTACATAAGGAAGTGCTTGTACCGTAAAAGGCAATTTGAAATTATAATAAAGCATAATTAAACAAGTATTAAACAATTGTTTTATTAAATACTGGAACTGTATACATTTTAGATGGATTAAAGTGCACCAGAAATTGTGAGAATGGAATATTTACTGCAAATGGAAAGCAGACATGTTATGTACGGAGAAGTTTATACATATAGTTACAATTCAACACGTATAGGGTGGTATGCGTGACGAATATAGCGGGTTCCATTTCGGATGATTTCATTTATTAGCACCTTGGTTACAAATTCTCTTAATCACACTTAAACACAGCGCTGTTGTTGATTTATATAATTTGTAGTTCCCCGTTGCACACGCACTAGAATTCACCGTCTTTACTAGTCGTCTCCTGGCAACGTATCTCAACACAGAAACTAGAACTTCAAATCACTATGAAGTCTTCTTGCCATTTCATGTTCAATCACCATGGAACCTCGGAACTCAACTAAAAACTGTCCTTAGTTGCAAGCGGACTCGTGTTATATAGGCGCGGCACGGACAACCCAAAAAACACAAGTCATGTGATAGCTGTTGGAATGTGACGTCATTGCGCCTGCGCGAAAGTGTGTTTAACGAACCGTTGTCTAGAAGCGGGTTGCATACTTTCCATTGTTGCGTGCGTGTAGTACTTAGAAACGGCTGTTTCTTTGGTTCAACCGTTCTTGCATGGAGCAAACATGCCAAAGAAATGCTGCGTAGGTCAAATTTCATAGCGTATAAGAAGGATAAATCACATATCGAAATAAAATACCGGATGGTCTAAGAGTCGTTTTTTACAGATACGGTGAAATGTTTAAGTGTGATTATTTTCACTTGAGTTCAGATTCTTATTTGCAACAATAGGTGGTAGCACTGTGAATACATCAACACCTGTTTCTGTCAGCTGTTATGTTAGTGTGTATTCACTCAATTTTCATCTGGTTGTAAATAAGGTTTTTTGGAACGTTAGTATAATCTCCGTAACGGAATTTTTAGGACACTTGAAGTACTGCAGAAGAACTCTGGAAATAATCTTAGGAACACAGATTTTATTATATTTATCACTAATTAAGTACTAATTTCTTGAATTTCAGTTGTCCCAAACAAGCTTCTTCGAGAAGACACCTAGCTGGCGTCTGTGGCGCCCATTAATACACATCTAGTGACGTCATCAGCACACGTGATTCCAGCTTGTCCTGTGAGTCGCCACCAGTTCTACACTAGGCCAGGAGTTACACACGAAGCACTCAGCGTTGTCGTCGTTCTGGAGCGAAAGTTGAAGTAGCATACTTGCTGCGAAATCACGTGAACGAAAAGAAAAAATGGCGCCTATTTACCGGTGAAAGACAACGTGGTGCCCGTCCGCAAGTATGGGCATTGGAAGACGGAGAAACGAGAAGTTGAAAATATTCAAATTTAATGTGATGATTCTTTGTACAAAAATTGTAATTGTAGTTTCCTTAACAGAGACAATGTCAAGGAAATATTTGTACAAAAAATATCCGTAACATTAAATTCGTTGTTAGAAAGAGAAGGATGCGTGTCTTTCTTGACTGAAAGAGTAAATATTAGAAAGCAAGCGACTAAAAACGTTAAAAGTAAATAGTGTTTTCTTTTTTTAATTTAAAAAATGCTGTTCAGTGGAGACGTCAGGGTAGTGCATGTTTTTATGTTTGTGTGACAAAGAATGAGGCAGTTTTCGTTTAAACGACCCTCGTTTCATAACATTTGTGGTTAACATTTGTTCAGGAAAGGAGAACGTAAAACCCATCTCTAAAATTCTTCAGGATCTCCACCAACATCATAGTTCCGCATTACTTGCTGAAAGAACAGAACCACAAACCAACCTGGACATTGTAGAAACAAAATACTATAGTAATTATTATATATAATGTATCATATTAATAATGGATAGACTAAAATGAGTGTCCCCTTCAACCTTCACAGCGGGAGGGGATGATCAGCGGCAGCGGTGATTTCGTTGTGTAAATGAAATCTTTTCTCCCCAAGAATGAACTTCAACTGGATTCTTCTGTTCTGCTTCTTGCGCTGTTCGAGCAGGAACTGGGAAAACTTATTATAAAAAAAGCGATGTAAGAGAAACCACACGTAGACTTTAGAAATCCCAAATCCCCCACGCCTTTAATTTTGACCTGTTCTCCCGTTACTAGAATATAGGAATGGTATTTCTCTGGCATTTGCTTGTTACTTCCAGTTGATATAATTCATTTTGCATAAATTATTGCTTCAGTGAGGGAGATGTGATTTCACGGGTTTAAAATTATGTTGCAAGTTTTGAAAAGAAGAAAAAACAATTATTTTATGATGGGTGATGTTATTTAGATGAGATTGCCCATAAATTGGTGCTACTAACCTACTTCAAAGATAGGTTTAATGAAGACAAATGTCTGTTCTGCTGGGGTGTGTTTCTCAAACTCCGTCTTCTTTCACCTGGAACGAACCTGCAAATGTCAATTAATACCGTCCATGGAGAGGGAGGCACTGTGCATTCACAACGTAAGGCAAATATCTGATTTATCTCCTTATTTCGTGTCAATATCCTATAACAACAGATGTTTCAGTAAGTACTGAACAAATGTGTATGCTTTCTCAGTCGGTGAAATAGATAAAGTGATATTATTAATTTATACAGCATATTCAAACTACTCATTGTAAATATCTTCGTAACTTTATTTATAATAATACAAACAAACAACCATGTAAACTATTGCAATCAGCAACATTTTCTTCTTTTGGGGCTGTTAATATTAAAGAAAAAAATATGAGACAAATACATTAACCCTCTCCCATTTATGTTGTGAGCAATGTGCTTCTCTCTGCTGAGTAGCGTGCAGTAAGATACCAGTGTTAATATTATTAAATTTGAAAACGTTCCTGCGCCACCTCCCTCCCTTTCATTCTCACCCTGTGGTCTTTGTTCCTCCTCGTCCCCCTCCCAGTCACAGTCCATCCTACCTCACCTTTCCGTCATTTTAATAAAAACAAAAGTACTGTTGTGCTGAAAAAATATTTCAAAAAAGGTTGTGCTGTTGTCAAGAAAAAAATCATAATTGTTATAACTGTTGTGACTTAATTATTTTTTTCGTTTTTTCTTTCATCCTTAACCGCTAATCTGAATCCAATTGCCAAATTTCCACAATATCCACACTCCCATACGAAATGTACGTAAGTTAAGAGGATAGATGGTAATCGTTGTGATCTGTACATGGAGGCTTACACGAGTATGCATGGACATTACATCTCAGGTCATTAGTTTCTTTAATGCAGTTCTTCATTTAAAACAGCGACACACTTTTCCCCGACCACGTGACAGGCAGCTGAGTGCATAATCCACGAGCCGATATTCAGCTGATCTTCAGAAGACTTAAGCGAAGGGCAACAAAAATACGTTCTTTTTCAAGCATATTTTCATAATAAGTATCCATTTATGTACATGAACAAAACTGGAACTAATATTCTAAAACTACATCAGAGCAGCATGGTGTATGATCTTATAAAGGTTTGTTTCGGCTTCAAGTTTTGAAATTATAGCTATTAGTCGTCTCCATCCCTTCTGCCTCTAGGTTTGTAGCCTTAGAGTAAATTGGGAAATCTTTTTGTAGCCCTTTTATGTGGTAATATTTAATTCTTCAAACAATATTAAAAACGACTTTGAACTTTATGGGAAAGATTTGCTGAATTACATATTGCTTGTTAGAAAATTTTTAACGTATTCATCATAAACTTAAAATAGCATTCGTGCAAACTACGCGACAGTAAGTGTATGCTGTTGGAAAATCAAAACGGAATATTATTTAAATAACTAGAAGTAGGTCAGAACGTTTTAATTGCTGGATATATATCTACTATATTCCACTTCAAGAGCCGGAATAGTTTAGTATGCAAAGCGACGGACCTCGTACTGGACGGCCGGGTTTCGATTCCCGACAGACGCAACAGATTTTTCTGTACTCCGCAGCATCCAGACGGGCTCTGGTACCGATCCAGCCTCCTACCTCATGGGTACCGGCAGCTCTTTCCTCGGGGGTAAAATGGCCTAGGCACGAAACTAACCACTCACCTGTATCTAGTACCAAGGTCAAGGATGGTAGAGCGATACCTCCACTCCCCCACACGTTTTCCATGAACAACTTTACCTTTCACCTTTACTGTATTCCTCTTTTACATCAATGTTGATAGAATTTGCACGAGCATACCTCATTGCTTGAACTATATATATATATATATTCTTGCATGAATAGCGACGACAGCGACGAGCTGTCCTGTTAAAGGGACAGTTTATATATTTGTTGTACTTTGTGTGGGACGAAAGTAAGAGAACTTGCTCAGTTAATTATTGGCAAGGTGGGATGAAAAGTATGCTGTATGCTACTTGCCTCATATAGCAGCATTTTTCATAATTTCCTCTATGTAGGAATTGGGGACGTGTTTATAACTTCTGAAATTTCATTTCGACACGGAGAGTTTTCTTCAGTGTTTGTTAGTTATGCCCTATCCTATGTATCCCATTACTGATTTTAGGCTTTAGTGGGTCGCAGTTATTTAAGCCCATTATCTCCTTCAGTTATTGCACCGTTTGGATGTGAAGGTTGTTACTGTCATTGGGGTCAGTCCTGAAGATGGCGGTAACATGGACCTCCGAAGTGCTCGGAATTTCTTTCACATCTACAAGGCAAAACTTCCCAAGAACAATCGTAATAGAGTGGATCCTGTTGTGTCATAAATAACATATACAAAAGTATATAAGGTATGCCGTCTGTACACAATATTCTGTATTTAAAAATCAAAGAAGACATTACTTATCAACATATTTCAACCCTTATACCGGGTCATCATCAGCTCATACTGGAGCATTGTACGCCTGATGATGACCTGGTATAAAGGTCAAAACATGTTGATAAGTAGTGTCTTCTTTGATTTTTAAATACAGAATATTGTGTACAGACGGCATACCTTTGTACTTTTGTATATCTTATTCCCAAGAACAGAATTAACGTCAGTATTTCTTATATTCTCTAGCCCGTAGTCCCCTGCATTTGCAATTCTCCATTTCTCCTTGTTCACGCTTCTCCTTGTCGTGACGTTTGAAGTGTCCAATATTCAAAGTTTAAAGTCTTTACTGAATCTTTTAGTAATTTTATTTATAAAAATGTTAATATTTCACGAACTTCATAATGAGAAGTACAGTGTTTAACTCTATATATACTGAGTGTTGGATTCGAGGAATTCGTTTTAATAATGATTCGTTTTAATAATGTTACGAAAACGGTTATCAGTCTGCGTTTGATGAAAATGCGGCACATATGAAATTTGTTACAATATTTTAAGAATAGAATGATATGTCCTTTAATGGTGATAAAATTTATCGTTGTTTTCACTGTGATTGTAGATAAATATTTTGTTTTGTTTTTCGTGTTTTGCTGATATACGTCGGATAAGTACGAGCATTACAGGCACTGTATTTCAGGGAGACCTGGAATGTATTCGTGACAAAAGATAAAACAGATCAACAAATTTAACTTTTACGATGTAAGCTATTTTTAACTGAATCAGATACGTTCATGACAAAGCATACAGTCATAAACATGAAAAACGAACAGTTCTTTCTGCTGTTTTCTATTTTTGAGGACAAGATATAAGAATCTTTACACAATTTATTACGCGAATTTGAAATAGTGGGGTATTTAAATGCTAATTGTATATTCTCTGAATCGACAAGAATTTCTTACACAAGGTTGACAAATTTATTAGATTACTAAGAAAAAGTACAAAAGCGAAGAGGATTCCCTGTTTTGGCTTAAAATTCAACACACAAAACTGTGACGTCATGGAAGAATTTGTGTCCGCTTTTGGAATCAGCTTATCGGAATTAATTCAACAGTTTGTTCTAGTCTATTTTTCCATGCCTATCGGACTAATATACTCTTAATTAATGATATGCATGCATATAGGCACAAAATATTTTACTGTGTTTCTTTAAACTTTGACCATATCATTTTTGAAGAGAATAAAATCAGTTTTATCTTATGCACAAATCTGTGGCACAAGAGCAGTTTTTAAGAAATTTTATGATCAATTTTTGTTTCATATAAAATAGGAATTATATTGGGCCGTATGGATTGAAATGAAATTATCCTGTCGGCCTTAATGTGCAATTTTATTACTAATTATGAACAAAATCCTCTGGTGGCTTAATGATGAAATATGCTGACGGACGTGACATTATTATGCTTTCATTTCATGTACTTGCTTTAAAGAACTCTTCAAGAAAGTCTGTAATTTTACTTTTGATACATATTTCCCAATTAAATTAATAGGAAACGTGACTCTATTCCCAAATAATTTTTATGTGTAGAAAGTTAACCTTAGAAGTGTAATGAACTCACCTCGAAAGATCATTCTACTAACATTATCACACTGTGCGATAATGTTTGTTTACCAGCGCCGTGCTGAGTGGACTGACTGAACTATCCACATCGCAGCAGAGCATTTCTAATTACTCTTGTACACCCACGTGTTCACATGGCCATATGCAACACGCGACCATAAATTGGCGTGTTTTTCTTCTTGTGTGAATGTAGACAGATTAATATCGTACAGACATCATTGCGAAACATTCTAAATACGATTATTTTTTTCAAATTTAAGCTTTGTGGTAACTGTAAATGCCACCTTCTTCAACATAGAAAGATCCACATCTCGTCCACAGTGCGTATTTATGGGTTTCATATGATTTTAAGAATGAACACTATAGCATTAACCAGTCAGTCGATTCTCATAATTAGGAAGCAGTGTCCTGTCTTAGAGGTAGGAATTTAATTTTTTAAATATTATTAGATGAACATTGCGCTTCAGGGAACTGAAGCTCTATTTGTCTGACTAGTTTCCTTTGGCACTATGGAGTGAGCTTAAATAAATTGATAGTAAACACCAGTGTTCGTCTGCTGCACTGAAAATGGCAGTTATTGAAAGAATCCCATTTTTTCCCATTTTCATTTTTAATAGCTCGGTCAGTACAGCTACGGGTTGAACGGTAGGGACTCGTTTCAGGTCGGGGAAAGATTTTCCTCTTCTCCACAGCGTCCAGACCGACTCTGGAACACATCCTGCCTCCTACATAATGGGTACTGGGACTTGTTTCCCCGGGGGTAAAGCGGCAGGGGCGTGAAGCTGACAGCTCACCTCCATCTAGTGTCGAGGCGAAGAATGATTGAGCTATACCTCTACTCCCCCATATGCCTTCATGGCATAGTACTTAATCAATTAAGCATAGGGGTAACTTTACCTTTCATTATATTTCTGGGAAATATAACGATGTTACAAGGATCTTAGACTATGTAGCCTCTAATTATAGGATTATTAGTGAATCATGAATTGGAAAGGATGTGAAAGAAAGCAGTCATGTTATAATTTCGCGTACTATCAAGGTTCGAAACATCCATGGAAGATGAAGAAAGCAGTGTTCTTGGATGTGGCGCCGTGTAGATATTGTGTTAACCCACGTTTCGGAGGAACGTATCTCCTCCATCTTCAAGGTAGAAGAAAAAACACGGAAATTCGCGAGCAAGGAACCAGCGTGAGCAGGTGCTAACAGACTAATGTCGAGTCGAGTAAACCCAGCTATGTAAGAGCAGTAAGAGAAGATGACAATAGAGAAGAATAAATCGATTTCAAAGCATTTTAGTTCAACAATTGCATTTGGCCGGCAGAAGTTATTTTGTAGAAATTTAATGACATTTTTCGCAACTTAAGTACAATGTGAATG